TAATAAAATGAATGAATGGATACATGAATAAATAAATACATACATAAATAAATGAATACATGAATAAATACATAAATAAATGAATGAATAAATAAACGAATAAATAAATGAATACTTGAATAAATTAATTAATTAATACATAAATGAATGAATTAATACATAATTAAATGAATGAATAAATAAGAACATAAATAAATAAACAAATAAATAAACACATGAACAAATGAATGAATGTTGGAATGACTGACTGACAGTTAATTTATACACACAATGCTCCTGTTGTGCAGAAGACTGAAGTGTGTGTATGTGTATGTGTGTGTGTGTGTGTGTGTGTGTGTGTGTGTGTGTGTGTGTGATGCGCCGCTCTGCTTTGATGATGAACCTCAGAGACGCTGTTTGCTCAAATAAGCTCCATTTCCCTGATTGTGGATCATCTGTGTGACGTCGGCTGTGTTTCAGCAGCACAAAGGCTCATTGAGGAGAGAGTGTGTGTGTGTGTGTGTGTGTGTGTGTGTGTGTGTGTGTGTGTGTGTGTGTGTGTGTGTGTGTGTGTGTGTGTGTGTGTCTCACCGCTGGGTTTGCTGCTGTGTGCGGGCGACACCAGCTCTGCCAGATTGAGCACTCCTGCAGGCCCGATGATGAACTGCGGAGCCGCTGTGTGGATGGTCAGTGTGTCGGGACTCTCTGGGTTTGTGTTGATCTGGTTCTGCATCGCCACCTGAGACACACACACACACTCATTTACACACACACTCTACAATGCTGATATACAGCTACACTAGCTGCGTTTCCATCCACCTGTTTTCATGTGCCGTTTATAATAGCCGTTGATGGAAACACCGAGATGCAGATCAATGTAGAAAATGAGCAAGAAACACACACACACACACACACACACATAACGGAGCAGGATACACTCTTTATTCGATAAGAAACGATGTGCATAAGCTGCGCTGGACACACTTTTACTGAACAAACTCCAGCATGTGCCGCAGTACAGGTCATGTGATGTTGTTCTGAGAGGTCATGTGATGATGGAGTGTGTGTGAATGGGTAATCCAGCAGGCTGAGCACACTGTAGAGCGTCTGACATGTTGATTTGCTCATTGTTAATCGCTGTGAGCGTCTCAGCATGACTGTTATTATATTAGTAATGAGCTCCAGTGCACAGATCCCAAACACACACACACACACACACACTCACGTCCGTTTACCTGCAGGATGTGGGCCAGCTCGTGGCAGCTGTTGTCCAGGGCGATGTCCAGAGCGTTCTTGCAGAACTTGCTGAGCGCGTGAACATCGGCTCCGTATCGCAGCAGCAGCTCCACCACAGCGGTGTGTGTGTGCTCCACGGCCCAGTGCAGCGCGCTCATCTGCAGCATGTCTTTAGCGTTCACATCCGCGCCGTGCTGGAAAACACCGGCAATACCACATCTGATGACCAACGATGAACTTTACAAACACACCGAGAGGCATTTCACACTCTGAGTACGCTAATGACGTATTTACAGTGCCTACAGGACACCACCATACCCTGAGGACACCTACACTACATGACTGTGTTCTATTCCCACTTATCTCCCCTATGCCCTATTCATTTACAACATTCTAACATTCCAATTATTCAAATTAAAAGCATGAAGCTCATCTCTCTGAGGTGTAATTTGATTTGAAGCTATTTTCGATAGTTTTAGTGATCTTCATGTTCACAGTTGTGCTCCCTTCACAGTGCACTTTGAAAACATGGATGTCATTTTGAACACAGCCTCATGGCGAAAGCTGTAGGTGACCTATTATTTAAGAGCGGATTTATGTTACGTCTTGTGAAAACAATAAGCATATGTTAATGCCTTTAATGTATAGTGGGTTATGTATTAAGGATCTGTACTGTACAGGACATGGGCCTGCTGGGTAGAACATTTCTGCTGAGGTTTACATGAGCCAAATTGTAAAAGTAGACTTTAAAAAAAAACAAATATCCTATTTAATAATAATAATAATAATAATAATAAATCAGCATCATTAATATTAATGTTATTAAAGTATGATTTTTTCATTTTTAATAAATACTAAATATTACATTTCCTTTTATAAAAAATAGCCTCATTATTTATTTATTTATTTATTTATTTAAATGATCTTGTAATAGGTGTTGGCTTCTGTAAGTGATTTTATGTTTAAGAATAGAATATGTAATGTTCAACTTCTCAATATTATTAGTAAAGCAAACACAGGCCCTGTGTGCCATTCACATTCACTTCAGTTAATATGGAGAGCGAGTGCATGTTCTACCACATCTAATACTGGATTTATTTTAAATGCGTGTGCGTGTAAAACAATATAACATGCACATATAAATGATGGGGTTCTTCTCTAAAGGAGTAGTTCCTCCACCCAGTTTAGAGCATGGATCTGCGACTGGGTTTTGGGAAACAGTCGTCACTACATCACTGTTTTCCCAAACGATGCATCGTACTGATAGTTCAGCCGCCAGTTATGTGAAACGCAGCCCAGGACAGGAGAAGAGAAGGCCACCAAACGCCTGATCTGTGTTCAGGCTGTGTGACGAATCAAGTCCTTATTTCACAGGGTTAGATGATGTTCTAGAGGCACTGTACATGTATACACACACTGCTGAATTATTCGCCCTGCGGTGAGATCTTTAATCTTGTCAAATATTTCTCGAGTGCTGTACAACAGAGACTGGACATTATCACTGCATTTCCTCTAATGTTCTGTCTTCTGGAGCACATCTTATTGTTTTAATTTGGCTAAGAGTGTCTAATTTAATGATGATTATTTTAAAGGTATGTTTAGCTCATTTCAGAGTTCTGTTATTTCCATGGTGTACACTGCAGAGCAGACCACTGTTCTCCAATAACCTGCCTAATGATCCTAGTTGAGCTGCACTTTCAGCTGAAGAATACTCTCTATTATGTGCTGCCATCATGACGAAGACTAAGTAAATCAGTTATTAGAAATGAGTTTTTAAAACTGTTGAAAAGCATGTAGGAAAATATCAAAAGTATTAAATATAAAGAATCAGTAATCAGCAGAAACGATCAGACATTCTCACACCAAAGACAAGAGTATTTTACAGCACTGTCGAAAGACTAACTGCAGTTACCTGCATCCAAAATACATGCTTGTGTTTACATATATGAATATGTGTGTGTATGATTTATTTTTTGTGTACATGTAATAAATATACACACATATACATTCATGGTTATATTTGAGAAAATGTTTATTTACTATATTTAGAAATTAAATAATTATATCTAATACAAATTATATAAGCATATATGGGTAGCATGGGGCGCAGTGGTTAGCACTTTCGCCTCACAGCTAGAAGGTCGCTAGTTCGAGTCTCAGTTGGTGTTTCTGTGTGGAGTTTGCATGTTCTCCCCGTGTTGGTGTGGGTTTCCTCCGGGTGCTCCGGTTTCCCCCACAGTCCAAACACATGCGCTATAGGGGAACTGATCAACTACACTGGCCCTAGTGTATGAGTGTGTGAACGAGTGTGTATGAGTGTTTCCCAGTACTGGGTTGCAGCTGGAAGGGCATCTACTGTGTAAAACATATGCTGGATAAGTTGGCGGTTCATTCCACTGTGGCGGCCCTTGAACTAAAGACTAAGCTGAAGGAAAATGAATGAATGAATAAGTATATATGTAAATATTGTGCTTTCACAATGTTTCTACACAGTGAGCACACACACACACACACACACACACACACACACACACACACACACACACTATGTAAAAACAAACAGCTCTAGCTTAAAACTCAAATATAATACTATTGCTTTGATGCTATAATTAATAACTGTACTATATCTGATTGATAGAGGAAGGAAATGTCCACTAGTTTGAACATTTAAAGGTGATTATTGTTCATTATTTTGAAAGCAACAGAGCTGCATTTTGGTGCTCTTCATCTGAGTCTGAGCCTTTTCCAGACCCTGAACACACAATAATGACAGTCCGGTGACTCCAGCATCCGCAGCTCAACAATGCCGGCTCTGTGTGCCCGACAGCAGAAGATCAGAGGACACACTGATCACAGCAGAGATCACAGCAGCAGCATTATCATCATCATCATCATCATCCTCACTCACCTTCAGCAGCAGCTCCACGATGCGCAGGTGACCCTCAGACGCCGCCATGTGCAGGGGTGTTCGGTCCACTTTAGTGCGCGCGTCTCTGCTCACGCCGGCCCGCAACAGCACCTCCGTGGTGGAGTAATGACCGAACTGAGCCGACAGGTGCAGAGGAGACGTGCCCAGCTGCACACACACACACACACAGACACACACACACACACACTTCATCATACTGCACAGTCAGGACAATTTTAGAAAACACATGCTGTCTCACACACACACTCTTACCCAGTCGGTGGTGAACGGTGCTCCATTGGCCATCAGGATCCGCACCTCATCATCCTGACCGGCACGAGCAGCTTCCAGGAGCTTCTTCCCCAGATCCACCAGAGACATCTGCGCGCACACACACACACACACACACACAGTTTTTAGGTAAGGTAAAATCTAAATCTACAGATCCCTGTGTGAATAAGTTTTGACCCCCTAGTGTGGTTCCTCACACCTGAGCTCAGCGTCTGCAGCCGCACACACACCTGATTACTGCCACACCTGTTCACAGTCACTGAAATACCTCCTGCCTGACAAGGTGAAGTAGACCAAAAGATCCTCAAAAGATGGACATCAAAGAAATTGAGCTCTACCAGAAGGAGAAGGTCATAAAGTGCTACAGCATGAGGTCATTTGTTTATATTACAGCAGTTGTTGTGTTGCCATAGCAACTGTAGAATCACCACAACAGATCAATTACTGTGTTTCCATAGCAACTGTGGAATCACCACAACAGATCAATTACTGTAGTTGTCGTGTTACCATAGCGACTGTCGAATCACCACAGCAGATCAGATCAACAATTGCCGTAGCAACAGATTAATTCAGGTGCTGTCCTGCAGTATGGCTCAACAACACTACAGTATACACAAAACATTACTGCAGTTTTATTCTGTGTGGGCCTCAAACACTGATATGTGAAATTGAGGGTGAAAAATTGTTTATTTATGATGCACTTTCATAAATATTTATTAAATTCAAAGCGCTACTATATATACAACAACTAGGGCTGCACAATATACGGTTATTGCATCAGTATCGCAATGTGAATTTGTCACACCGTGCAGTGCAGTGTGGGGTCAGGATTAGTTGAGCAGGGGTCTGTTCTTCATACGTGGATTACTCAATTAGCTGGATTTAGTTATTGAAGATTTGACACAATCCAGGATATTTTTGTTCCTCAAAACTCATCTAAGACTTGTTGTTATAGCAACAGTTCTGATTGCTCAAAACTGCTAGGAAGCAGGCTCATTTCATTAAACAGGATTAGATGGGGTCAGTTCAAGCAAAAATAATACTAAAGTATGTACCAAATGCTGATATTTCCTTACAGCAGTTATATACAGTTGGGAAAATAGTAAATATATTTTTTTAACTATATATATATAAAGTAAACAAATATAAAACTTTTGCAATCTGCACTCGGAAATGAAAGTGCAAAGACTGCCACCTGCTGGTTCAAAGAGAAAATGTATTGATATGAACTTTCTAGATACAAACACGTACATGCACAATATTCCACTTTTTTAAGGATATTAACTTATGCTGTCATGCACGTGTTTTGACCGCTAATATACTGGTGATTTGATGCTTCAAAAAGGTTACAGACACCTTTACCTATTTAAAAATGCTTTTTTGATGCAAAATTAATTTATACAGTTATTCCTTACGCTGATTTAAAAAAATGTGAGTTGGCCTAGGCTGCTATAATAAAGAAAATCTGCTCTAAATGTAGAACTAAATGCATTAATGTGCACTGAAATACATGATGAACACTCATGACACATGATAGTGTAAAGCCTGCAGCTCACAACCAACGTGTACAGAAATTGCGTATAATATTTAACAAACCGTTTACTATGAATTTGATCTCATTTTGCTCACATGGATAAATGAATATTAATCAGATGATGTCATTACGCTGCTGTGCCGTCAGCCAATCACAGTATTGCTGATCATGATTTCGAGGATCGTATTATCTGTCCTTCACAACACACACAGCGATCTCAGATCAGTTTATCCAGACATTTTAATCTGATTCACCAACTTATTTAAAGAGCTAAATTAGCCAGAGATCAGTTATCAAGATTAACAGATTCAGGATCTGCCAAATCATCTTAGATCCTTTAAGCGAGGACCCCGGGTTCAACAGTTTAACCATAGTAAAGTGAAGTATTTATCAATTGCTTGTGTTTTAAGGTCTGTGTAAACACTTTAAGTGAGTTTAAAGCATTTGTGCACAAAGAATTATTATGTGGGCATCACAGTGGCGCAGTGGTTAGCACCATGGCCTCACAGCAGAAAGGTCGCTGGTTTGAGTCCCGGCTGGGTCAGTTGGCGTTTGTGTGTGGAGTTTGCATGTGTACAGGGGAATTGAACAACTAAATTAGCCATGGTGTGTGTGTGTGTGTGAATGAGTGTATATAGGTGTTTCCCAGTACTGGGTTGCAGCTGGAAGGGCATCCGCTATGTAAAACATGCTGGAATAGTTGGCGGTTCATTCTGCTGTGGGGCCCCTGATAAATAATGGGACTAAGCCAAAAAGAAAATAAGTGAATGATGTCTGCCGCTTTAACAGAGTGTGATGGTGTTGAACTATTTACAGGATGAAGAATATACAGCTTTATTGCAGATTATTGTATTTCTGTATCTGTATACTGATCGACTCAATCATTTGCATATTTGCTCTGTTTATCTCTGCTTGGAGTATTTTTGCACTTCCCCACAAAATCATCACAATCGATCTAAAAGTATTAATCAAATTATCTTGAAAATAAACCACAAAAATGATATTTCGCAGTGTACATGTTTTCTATAGCGTGCAGCCCTGATAACAACATGAAGACGCAACACAAACCAGAACAAGCTTACATAAAATCCCAGCAACAAGCCCAAAGTCACACCGCAATAATCAATACAGCAATAATTAAGCAGAATGATTAGAAATGACAGTGATGAGCACAAATTAAACGCTGTACTAAAGATGTGTCTAAAAACAACCTAAAGAAACTGCCCTCCTAATAACTGTGGCTAATGCACACTATAATGTAAAGTACATTTTAAAAATAGATTTTTTATTTAACAGTCGTAATCTCACTGATTAATGAGTCTTAACTACAGGCACAGTGCAGCACACATGAGCATCTCCTCATCGCTTCCTCACACTGTCATGCCTGCAAACCCTTAGTGTCTTTCTTCTGTTCAACATTACTCTGAAGAATGCTGGAAAAACACACACGGACACCCACAGCAGGAACAAAAACACTGCAGAGGTTAATGTCTGGGCGGTTCATTGCGCTGTGGCGACCCCTGATTAATAAAGGCACTCAGCTGAAGGAAATGAATGGATGAAGATGATGTCTGTTGATCCAGCAATACTCAGAATATCTGCATTAATGTTCATCATACTCTCACAGGTAAATAACGACAGAACTATATGTGTGAACTGTCCCTTTAAATCACAGTCAGTGGTCAATAATCAATAATCAGAGCATACAGATGATCAGATCCAGCGTGATGATAACAGCACTGCTCACTCATTCCCTAATGCAGACCGAACTCTAGTGCTGTTCTCCAACAGCAGTTCAGCATGAGAACATGTCATTATCAGAGACAGGCATCCCCTTCAGGATAATGGCACTATAACACACACAGTGTGCTGAGCTGCTGCTGCACTGTAATGAGCTGCAGTCTCTGTGTCGCTGCTTCAGATCGATCATGGTGATCAGCGCTGTGTTAATGAGCTTGATCAGATTGATAATCGCGTTATTCTGCAGTGGATGTACTGATGGTCTGCTGTATAACGCGCTGTGATGTACAGCAGATCTGCACTATAGTCTCCGCCGGCGAGCGTGACGCAGCGGCCCGTTAAACGCGATAAACAGGAAATCGCTGCTGTTCCGGGGGAAGAGGAAATATTAAAACCCCACAAACTTCCACATCCGGCGGACGCGATCACGAATTTATGTGCTTCTTACCGTCCGAGCAGAGCCTGCAGAACCGAATCCGCCCGAAACCGAGCTGAAAACCCCGGGATGACAATAATAGAGCGGGCACGCGCGCGGGCGTCAATGCGCGGGCACAGGCTGACAAAAAGATAAATATGATAAATAAAGTAAATAATGAGATAAACACACACACACTGCTCTAGCGAGGACCAGTTTAGTATTACTGAGTAATTCGTGTGTTTCTATTTTATGAAAAATTATATTTGTATAACTAATAGCTAACGAGTGTTGAGCGGCCGAGTGCACTGCGCATGCGCGAGTCAGCTGATCAGACACCCGATATGATCATACTCATAAAAGTACAGACGAGCTCAGAGTAATGCGAGCTTACAGAGCTGACGATAACACACACACACACACACACACACGATTCATGGGCAAGAAGCCAGCAAAACACGTTTAAACAGCCGATAAACACCGTCAGTGTGTGTTTACCTGTCTCTGTGTGTAAACAGAAATAAATGAGTGCTAAATTAATTTTAAAAAAAAGCGAAAAAATAATAATAGTATGTTCAAGACATGAGTCAAATACAGATACTAATAATAAATTATTCAAAAGTGAGCAAGTTTAAGGCTATAAAATAAGCTGTGTGTGTGTGTGTGTGTGTGAAAGTGAAACGCTGGCGCATGTGTGCGTTTAAATAAAGCTTCCGCTGTTTGAATGCAGTCACTTCCGCGTTTGATCGAGCAGTTTCAGCCTGTTTCTGTCATTATCCTGAATAAACTTCACTTCTCGGCGCTCAGCTGCGGCTCTCGGCGGATTTCGGCGTGTTTGCGGGGCAGGCGGTGTATGTGAGGTGAGTTGGAGCGCTGGGCTGCGGTCAGGCGATGATTAATAAGCAGAAATGCTGCATTATTGAGTGTGTTTGTGAATCTGATCTGTCATCAGTCTCGTGACCCTCCGGCAGCTCTGAGATCAGCTCTGATTGTTGTTGTTCTCCTCTCCTGCTTTCGCCATTACTCTGTGTGTTGACATGAGCAGTGCTGTTGACAGATCTGAGACAGACGACACGGATATAAACACCGCGATATTAGCATGATAACAGGAGGACTGAGGAGCTGTTCAGCACTATACACTCACTGACCGCTTCCCCAGAGCCTGCCATCAGCCAAAAACACAACTCATTACACACTGTTACATTTACCTATATGTATTATAGCTATTAATATTTCCCAGATGATGTTGAGCAGATTCAGGAGTTGTTCTCAGTGTTTCCTCTAATATCTGTTCTTCTGGAGAAAGTCTGATGTGTTTTATTTGGGCTAGAATAACAGCAGTGTTTAATAGTGTTAAAGTCATGTTAAGCTCAATATTATTCTCCTCTTCAGCAATATTAGTGTTGGATAGTCTCCAGAACAAACCACTGTTATACAATGACTTGCCTAATTACCCTAACTTTACCCTAATTACCCTAGTGAAGACTTTACATGTCACTGTAAGCTGAACACTAGTGTCTTGAAGAATATCTAGTCTAATATTATGTGCTGTCATCATGGAGAAGAGGAAATGTGTTGTGAAATCTGCTCTCCATTAATCAGAAATTGGGAAAAAAAACAATAATTCTGCTCATATATAAACACTCTAGGCATGTGCTGGTATAAGATTCTGACAGTATGATAACCTTGGATTAATATAAAATATATTCTTTTCAAATGTCTGGATAAAAACAACATCTTTTTCCGCTTTGAACACAGTATAGTTTATTTAGGGAAATGCTGAAATATATTCGAGCAGTGAAGATGTCGGGCTGAAAAATAATAAATCACTGACTCCTGCTGTCGACATTAGATTTCTAAATTCAGATTTCATTAATAACTATTTAATTACATCATTTAAAATGGCATGTTGCATCTCTTTTGTGCTGGAGATTCTGTTATCCTTAAATGTTAAACAGGGTATCTGCAGGCTCTTAAAAAGACTTTAATCTCAAAAACTATATTTTAGGCCTTAAAAAGTCGAAATATTGTCTTAAATCTTTTTTAAACAAGTCTTAATTTTTTTTGTTCAGGTGTACCCAATCGGGCCAACACTCATCCAATAAATAAATAATAAAACACTTTATTTAAGAAAGTACTTTTGAACTCTGTTTACCATATAAGGTTAATTATGTTCCTTACAATAACATTGGTTTAAATGTTTTCCATGTAATTACTGCTGAAGCTGACCTGGACAGACGGGTGTGCCTACATTTACTTGATTATAGTTTTTAAAACATTTAAACTTTTATTCCAAATTAGTTTTTATTCTTATTAGGAAAAGTTGATGAAAAGTGTATGGACAGCACTAGAGCTTACTTTGACAATATCTAAAATATTTTGCTCAGAATAACTGAAACATTCATTTATTTATTTCTTTTTGGCTTCGTCCCTTTATTAATCTGAGGTCGCCACAGTGGAATGAACCGCCAACTTATCTAGCATATGTTTTATGCAGCGGATGCCCTTCCAGCTGCAACCCAGTACTAGGAAACATCCACACACACCCATTCAATGGACAATATCTAGCTTACCCAATTCACCTGGAATCGCATGTGTTTGGACTGTGGGGGAAACCGGAGCACCCGGAGGAAACCCACACCAACACGGGGAGAACATGCAAACTCCACACAGAAACACCAAGAGTCTGGATATTCATTCATCATGATCTTAAAAATGTCTTGAAGTCTTAAATTTAACTTGCTGAAACCTGCAGACACTCTGCTAAAACCAAACGCAAAAGAAAATATGTATGCCAAATTAAATTAAATAATAAATGAATGCAACATAACATGCTAACAGATCATATAATTAATATAATAATATAATTAAATGGTCATATTGTCAACATTTAAATCAAATCTATTCAACACTCATTCATAGCATATATGATCCACTTGACTACTGCAGTCTTTGCTGTACACATAAATATAATTCACTTTTGTTAAAGCTACAGAGTTTATTACTGTAAATACAGTTATTTGTTATTGTTAAAGCTGCAAACATTTTAATTTCTTGTGCCCAAATAGTTTAAACATTCCATGTTTGACAATCTCTTCCCCAGTAATGGGTTGCAGCTATAAGGTCATCCGCTGCGTAAAACATATGCTGGAATAGTTGGAGGTTCATTCCGCTGTGGCGACCCCTGATTAATAGAGACTAAGCCGAAAAGAAAATGAATGAATGACAGAATCTGAACTGAAACATGCAAAGAGGGTGGGGCATACAGTAGCCCCTCCCCTTTTAAAAACCAGCCAATAGCATTGTGTATTTCTCCCAGATCTGCCAGTAAAAGTGGTTGAGCTCAAACACATTAAATAAACAGCCAATGAGAATAAGGGGCGGGGCATGTCAGACAATGGAGAGCATTTGATTGGTCAGAAGATCATGGATGATGCATTTAAGAGGACGAGACCCACTGCAGACTGGAGATGTGTACATCGTGGATATGGTCAGTTGTGGAGACTCTAGATTAGAGATATCCTGAACACTACTGATAACATCTATTCACACGGCCTTTAAATGAAAAGCTTTGGGTTAGAGCTGTGTGATCCCGCCCCGGGAAATATGGGATGTGCAATATTGTTGTTGAGTGTCGTGATGATGATATTTCTATTTAAATAAATATGCATGCTATAATCATACGACAGAGCTACGCCTGTGCATCACCATCAACAGATTCAGACATGGCAGACGGCTGCTTCACACGGCTTGTGATTATCTGTGTGTGTGTTTCTTCCTCAGTGTGTGTGTGTGTGTGTGTGAGACCTGAGGCTTCGGTGTCCAGCAGGAATATGAGCTGAAGATGCCGTCCGTGTCCAGCGGATTGAAGGATCTCTATCTGTCCACGTCACTCGGAGATCTGAACAAGAAGGCAGAAATCAAGCCGGACAAGAGCAGCACCAGACAGTGAGTGCAAACCAGCAGCTCCTGTGTCAAACGGCACTGCGCGCACACACACACACACACACACACACACGTATTACACTGTGAAATGCATCAGTCTCATTAGCATGATTGAAAATGGAAATTAATTGTAAAATCTTGAATTAATAAAACAGAATAGATGCTATAAGAATAAAACATTTATAAAATAAAAATCACTACATTCATTAATAATAATAATCTGTATGTGATGTAGAAAAATACTCAAGTGCTCTATATGATAACCACAGACTCAGAAAGGGATAGAGTAATAAATATTGTGATTAATAACAGCAGACCTCAGATCAGTGTGTGTGTGTGTGTCAGTTATGTCCAGAGCGCATGTAAGATCTTCAAGGCGGCAGAGGAGTGTCGTCTGGACCGTGATGAGGAGAGGGCGTATGTGCTGTACATGAAGTATCTGAGCGTCTATGACCTGATCAAGAAGAGGCCGGACTTCAAGCAGCAGCAGGTACAGATGCAGGACACTGGCTGGATATATCAGGGCACATCCCACCCAGATCTCTCTACACAGTAATATTCTCTCCCGGATTGCTTTACAGTAATATATTTATGCATATACACTCAACCGGCCACTTTATTAGGTACACCTCACTAGTACCAGGTCGCTTTAGCCTTCAGAACTGTCTTAATCCTTGGTGTCAGAGATTCATCAAGCTGCTGGAAATATTCCTCAGAGATTTTGCTCCATATTGTCATGATAGCATCACACAGTTGCTGCAGATTTGTCGGCTGCACATCCATGATGCCAATCTCCCGTTCCACCACATCCCAAAGCTGCTCTATTGGATTGAGCTCTGGTGACTGTGGAGGCCATTTGAGTACAGTGAACTCATCGTCATGTTCAAGAAACCAGTCTGAGATGATTGAGCTTTATGACATGCTGCGTTATCCTGCTGGAAGTAGCCATCAGAAGATGGAGACACTGTGCTCATAAAGGGATGGACATGGTCAGCAGCAATACTCAGGTAGGCTGTGGCGTTGATGCTCAATTGGTACTAATGGACCCAAAGAAAATCTCCCCCACACCATTACACCACCACCACCAGCCTGAACCGCTGATACAAGGCAGGA